TTAATGTTCTGATTTGCAGAATCTACCAGGTGAGAGGAGAGCTGGGTGTTGTGTTTCTACCTCTGTTGTTTCACAAATATCTGGAGCACCTCTAACGTGAAGTGCAACACGATGAATGTCTGCCAGTACCTATCAGCTCTGAGACGCCATAAACCCAGTCCTATCTTTACTACTTTATGATGTGCAGCAGTCTGTCTCCACGCTCTCTGAGACCAACCTTTCATGGCACCTGACCAAACCCATCCTTTCTGTGATGGTACCTGGCGACGGATCCAAAGCTAACAGAGAACTCATCTTTTGTGTCACTTCACGTGGCAGGGTGCCCACACAATCACAGCTGATGTCTCCTCACTAATTACTCCATGTGCTCCCCGGCCTCTCTTTATTTCACATTTTGTAGTCGTTTTCCATTTTACTGCTCATCTTTTGTAATTATTTTATTCTAGCATAAACTCCAGACGAGTGCGGGGATTGTTTTACACCAAAGATTTATTGAGTTTTTTCTCTAAAGGTTTGTTTTTCCTCCCAAGTCTTCAGTGAAGTATTACGACTGTGGAACAGCTTGTGCTGACCTAAATAGCCTTTGTGACTATTTTTGCTTTGTTCTTCCAAACTGTTTGACAATATTCTATATTAAATGCTTCAGAGGAAGTCTTATTTGTAGGCAGACTCGCTCTCTGCACAGCTATGTTGACAGGACGGTCTCTAAACCTCATGTGATGACATCATCTCTTCAGACAGCTTCATAACTCCACCACCTCACCTTCCCCCCAGGTTGAGAGTCTGGGTGTCATCCTCGACAGCACATCATCCTTCCAATCCCACATCAATAACACCACCAGGTCTGCCTACTTCCACCTACATCAATCGCCTCCACCCCGCATTATAACCCGAACCCCCTGGATCCACCACATCACTCCCGTCCTCCAACAGCTCCACTGGCTTCCAATTCACAGTTAACATTTAAGGCCGTTCACAGCCTCACTCCCCCCATACCTCCATGTTCACACTCAGAAAATGTATTATTATTATTAGTGTGGGCTTGAACTAAATCACTGGTCCATGTTGCATCGAGGTGAGCAACAGCTCAACTTCCAGCAAAATGGCAAAGCTCCAAAGTGCCCCCTTGTCATCACGAGTAGCTAAAGATGATGTGGTTGTCGGCGTTTTCACTTCAGAAGACAAAGGTAGCCCCACTGGCCTGGAAATAAACGCTGCTAAACCCCACACGTACTGTGGCCCTCGCAGCTTTTACGGTGGATTACTCCAGGGACACACATCGAAAGTGAGCAGACCCAATAAATACTTGCAAACAGAGTACATAAAAATTGATCCTTACAGTCAACAGTGTCCTTCAGCAGAGGGTGGAGCAGGCCTCTTGGTGATCCATGGTGTAGATTCAGCCTGAGGGATAAATGACACCCACTATGAATGACTCAACGGAGACAATAAACAACGACAATAGAGCTGCTCGGTCTCCACAAAACAACAACGTGTGTCTGCTATCGTGCGTGCTACGTTCGGGTTTATTGTCTAACAGCAGAGCAGAGCCTGAGGGGCGCACCGCGAAGCGAGAATAACGGGTTAATGAGGTAAACTGAGCCGAAAGTCAGACTGTGTCACGAAGGTGGCTCTCCTTTAACCTGCTAGGTCACCATGGTAACTGATGCTGCACAGCTCCAGGGGAGGTTCTGTTTAGAGTTTGGGGTTAAAACATCTTTTTCCTGGTGTCTGGGGTTTGGGTTTTCTATGAGCGACACAGATTCTCGGTCACAGGGGCGCAGAGTGTCGGTGCTAACGTTTGGGTTGCCATGGGAACCCACGTGGTGATGCAGAAAATGAAAAAATTAGCTTTCATACGTGGTCCTGATTTGCTGCCCAGTCGATTTTACGCTGATATTGTTGCACAGATTAGAAAATTTATTACCGTAATTTTCGGGCTATGAGCGCACCTGAATATAAGCCCCACCCACTAGCTTTAAAAAGAAAACCAGGTGTGTACATATACAGGCTGCACTCGTCTATAAGCTGCAGGTGTCCACGTTGGAACATGAGATATTTACACAGAAAGATGTTTTAACTTTTAATAAAACACGCACCGTAGATGCCTTTTTCCAAACAGTGGCTGTAACACGGCTGGTTAAGAAAATAAAATCTCCAGCAGCCTACCAGGAAAAGTCCTTGATTGCTAACTTCATCTTCCTCCTGCACTAAAGCCACTAAAGTCATCTTCTTCAGTGTCGTGAAAAAAGCAGTGGCTCATAGTCCGGACATTACGGTAATTTATTGGTATCTATAACAGAGCATATCCAGTTAATGACATTTATTTCACTTTGATTTGGCCTTAAAGCCTTAAAGGATTTCCACGTAGCCTTCATTATGGGCCAGTGACAAACCTACATGAACTTCTTTAGTGTCACGTTGAAATAAATTAAGTGTATTATGCTCCTGTCACGTTAGAAATAAGTGCACTGAGCCGTACAAAATAATAGAATAACTTGCACCATTGATAATTTTCTGTTTTTTCGATACTCCAACAGGCGATGCACCATCAGGCCAAACGTCCCATTTTTATACACAACCTGGTGAGGAAACCCTCTTTGACAAAGAAAGCTGATCACCACCGTTGTGACACCCGTTATCACTGGTTTGGGGTTTTGTCGAGCCAGCTCACACGTCAGACTTGCTTCCTGTTACCCCTCAAGTCGCTTTATACACAACAGTAGTTCTGCATGGATGCTGTAAAACGTTTGACAAACAAACTGCTGTAATGCAAAAGTTGAACAGGTGTAGGTATGTAAGACCGAACCGGCCAGCTGGAAAATAAGTCCACGGATATTATTCAAGCAGCAACCCCCTCACTATAAATACACCCGTCCTTCAATAATCTCCTTATGAGAAAGTTCATTAATCCCTGGCTGGGGTAATTAAGAACGGGCTAATCACCTTCTGTCCCCATCGGTAGCCGGTATCTCTGGTTTGTTGGTAAAAAGCTCCAGGACGGTGAAGCCTCGCCCCAGAGCCTGATGGGAGCCGTCTGGCCTTGGTGACAGTGACACCAGCTCCAGAACCACCAGCGTGCTGGGCAGCAGCAGAGACGTATGGAGGTACAGGACCTAGACAAACACAGACATGGAGTGAAGAAAGGCATCATCGATCCATTTAGAACGCAGCTTTAAGGGCTGTGAGATAAACTGTGTTGGTCATTTCACATCATTCATATCATTAAATCTGATGCTAAATTGTGGCATCGACAAGTAAAAGTGACACTTAAAGTAAATGAGCACGTTACACATCACAGCTTAATGCATGGACGTGTTCCATCATCGTCCTACTGCCTAATCATCATTAGTAATGTAAAGGTCACACAGACTTCTCATCAACTGTAAAACTGAAGGTATGAGTGTTCACATGCACAGAGTGGAAACTCACCGACACCCCCACACATGACACATGTATGCACGTGGTAATGATGACGCCTTGACAAACAAGGGATTTCAGAGGCTTTAAATACATGTCTGTTCCAGCGCTCACTGTTGCCGTGCAGACTCCACATGTGCACAGCAAAACGAGCATGGAAACAACAGAACAGGAAAAGTTTTACGTTGACTCGAAACAGGTTCTCTGTCAGCAGGGTCACTACAGGAGGCAAGAAAACGTATTTGTTTGACCACTTAAATCAGTCCCTCAAAGCTCTGCATGATAAGTGTAAAGCCGGATCTGACTGCCAGCCGAGGGAAAGAAAAAAAAGTAATATCTCTGAAGATTTGCCAGTGCTACACCATATGAGACATGTTTCAAATGACCTT